TGCCTCCGTTTGCCTTTGAAAGTGTTCATAATAATTAAAAATTGCTCAATAATAGCCAATATTGGTGACAGAGATCAACTTCTAAGTTAAAAAAACTAAAGAAACTACGCGAAATCAGCCTAGCAATGTTAATACTGACTCATCACAAACAAGTTGATAAATATTAAAACAAAGACAAAAAATTGAAAAAAAAAAAAGAAATAGAAGAATGCTTTACCTGAAACTCAACATGATTCCTAAATGGTAGAGGATTTCTCACAAGAAATCCTGGACCTTGGAAATTACATCATTTGCAGGAGAATGGATAAAACTGTTTTTAGGTATATATGACTGCAGAATGCACTTTACTCATTATACACAGTTGCAGCACAACTTTTCATTTCTCAGGTTGTACACGGTGTAGCATCACACCATATGTGCAGTTACACATGTACTTAGGGTGATGATGTCCATCTCATTCCACCATCTTTCCTGCCCTCTCATCCCCTCCCCTTCCTTCACCTCCCTCCCCTTTGCTCAATCACAGTTACTCCATTTTCCCATGCCCCTCCTCCCACCATTATGGATCAGTGTCCACTTATCAGAGAGAACATTTGGCCTTTAATTTTTGGGATTGGCTTACTTCACTTAGCATGACATTCTCTAACTCCAGCATTTAACTGCAAATTCCATAATTTTATTCTCTTTTAATGCTGAGTAATATTCCATTCTGTATATGTACCACAGTTTCTTTATCCATTTATCTATTGATGGGCATCTAGGTTGGTTCCACAGTTTAGCCATTTTGAATTGAGCTGCTATAAACATTGATGTGGCTGTGTCCTTTGGGTATAAACTGAGGAGTGGGATAGTTGGGTCAAATGTTAGTTCCATTTCAAGTTTTCAAGGAATCTCCATAGTGCTTTCCAGATTGGTTGCACCAATTTGCAGCAAGGTATGAGTGTACCTTTTCCCCACATCCTCGCCAACATTTACTGTGTTTGTATTCTTGATAATTGCCATTCTGATTGGTGTGAGATGAAATCTCAGTTTTTATTAACTATTTTAATTTTTATTTGTCTTAATTAGTTATACAAGGCAGTAGAATGCATTTATGCACTTTGGTATGTCATACATAGATGGGGTATAATTTCTCATTTCCTGAGTGCACATGTTGCAGAATCCCATTGGTCATGCAGTCACATATACACACACAGTAATCGAGTCTGTTTTGTTTTACTATCTTTCCTATCCCCACATCCTGTCCCCTAACCTCCCTTCTTGTCCCTCCACCTAACCTAAGGTAGTGTGTCGGGGCTGCCCTGAACAGGAGCTTGCTCACCCCTTCAAGTCCTGAGTGAAGAGGTCCTGGACTGTTATTGGGCCCTGCACTGTGTGTGGACTTGCCTCTGCTTGGATAAAAGAGGCGCAGCTCTGGGAGTGGACGTCACTGAACGGGTTGAATTACAACCACCTGATTGTTGTAACCCTACTCTTTGCCCTTTTTTTTGGATAGAATGTTTCATGGAACAGCTCCCCCCAGTACTAAAAGTCTAGCCTCAGAATGTGCCCTCTCTCTCTTGCCAGCCCCTCGTGTTTTTCTCTTGTTCACCCCCCCCCCCTTGTGGGAGCTTGAGGCTGGGAGCCGGGAAAGCCCTCCTGAAGCCCAGTGTCTGCTGGTCATTTCATGCACCCCAAAGTCATCTGAGTGATCCCGTTCGGGAGCCTGTGCTGGATGGGGGCTACAGTCATGCTATTCTCTAGTGCCCCCTGCCTTATTATGAACTAGCATCCGCATATTAGAGAAAACATTCAGCATTTGGTTTGGGGGGAATGGCTTATTTTGCTAAGCATGGTATTCTCCAAGTCCATCCATTTTCTTCTTTAAAGCTGAGTAATATTCCACTGAGTATAAATACCGCATTTTCGTTATCTCTAGGTTGTTTCCACAGTTTAGCTATTGTGAATTGAGCTTCTATAAACATTGATGTGGCTGTCTTACTGTAGTATGCTGATTTTAAGTCCTTTGGGTATAAACTGAGGAGTGGGATAGCTGGAATCATTCCCAGTTTTCTGAGGAATCTCCACACTGCTTTCCAGATTGGTTGCACCAACTTGCAGTCCCACCAACAACGTGTGAGTGTACCTTTTCCCCACATCCTCACCAACATGTATTGTTGCCTGTGTTCTTGATGATTGCCATTCTGACAGGAGTGAGATGAAATCTTTGTGTAATTTTGATTTGAATTTCTCTAATTGCTAGAGATGTTGAGCACTTAAAATAAAAATATATTTGTTGAATGATTGTATTTCTTCTTCTGTGAAGTGTCTGTTCAGTTCCTTAGCCCATTTATTGATTGGGTTATTTGTTTTTTGAATTATTTATATATCCTAGAGATTAATGCTTTATCAGAGGTGCATGTTGTGAAGATTTTCTTCCAATCTGTAGGTGCTCTCCTCACATTATTGATTGTTTCCTTTGCTGAGAAGAGGCTTTTTGATTTTAATCCATCCCATTTATTGATTCATTATTGTGCTTTAGGAGTCTTGTTAAAGAAGTCAGATTATAGGCCAACACAATTTAGATTTCGGTCTACTTTTTATTCTATTAGGCAAATAGAATCTAGTCTTTGATTCACTTTGAGTTGATTTTTGTGCAGGGTGAGAGATAGAAGTTTAATTTCATTTTACTACATATGGATTTCCAGTTTTGCCAGCACCATTTGTTGAATAAGCTACCTTTTCTCCATTGAGTGTTTTTGGCACCTTTTTCTAATATGAGATAACCATATTTACGTAGGTTTATGTCTGTGTCCTCTATTCTGTACCATTGATCTACAAGTCTATGTTGTGCCAATACCATGCCATTTTTGTTACTGTATAGTTTAAGGTCTGGTATTGTGATGCCTCCTGCTTCACTCTGCCTGCTAAGGATTGCTTTAGCTATTCTGGGTCTCTTATTTTCCATATAAATTTTATGATCGCCTTTTCTACTTCTATGAATAATGTCATTGGGATTTTAATAGAAATTGCATTAAATCTATATAATGCTTTTGATAGTATGGCCATTTTGACAATATTAATTATGCCTATCTAGGATCATGGGAGATCTTTCCATCTTCTGAGGTCTTCTTCAGTTTCTCTCTTTAGTGTTCTGTAATTTTCATTGTAGAGATCTTTCACCTCTTTTGTTAGATTGATTCCCAGATTTTTTTAGGCTATTGTGAATTAGTAGTTTTTCTAATTTCTCTTTCAGTGGATCCATCGCTGATACATAGGAATGCATTTGATTTAAGGGTGTTGATTTTACATCCTGTTACTTTACTGAATTCATTTATTAGTTTTAAAAGTTTTCTGGTAGAATTTTTGGATCTTCTAGATATAGAATCATGTCATCACCAAACAGTGATAGTTTGAGTTCTTCTTTGCCTATTTGTTTCCCTTTAATTTTCTTCTTTTGTCTAATTGCTCTGGCTAGAGTTTCAGGATGATGTTGAATTGAAGCGGTGAAAGAGGACATCCTCATCTTGTTCCAGTTTTTAGAGGGAATGCTTTCAATTTTTCTCCATTTAGATGTGCTGGCCTTGGGTTTAGCATATATAGTTTTTACAATGTTGAGAGATGTTTCTATGATCCCTAGTTTTTCTTGTGTTTTGAACATGAAGCATTTTGTCACATGCTTTTTCTGCATCTATTGAGATGATCATATTATTCTTATTTGTAAGCCTATTAATATGATTAATTACTTGTATTGATTTACATATGTTGAAACAACCCTATATCCCTGGGATGAACCCCACTTGATGTGGTGCACTATATTTTTAATATGTTTTTGTATGTGATTTTTGCCAGAATTTTATTGAGAATTTTTACATCTATGTTCATCAGGGTATTGGTCTGAAGTTTTCTTTCTTTGATGTGTCTTTGTCTGGTTTTGGTATCAGGGTCATATTAGCCTGTTTGGAAGAGTTCTCTCCTTTTCTATTTTATGGAATACTTTGAGGAGTATTGGTGTTAAATCTTCTTTGAAAGTCTTGTAGTACTCAGCTGAGAATCCATCTGGCCCTTGACTTTTCTTGGTTGGTAGGCTTTTGGTGAAATGTTCTATTTCATTACTTGAAATGATCTTTTTAAATCATGTATAACCTCTTCATTCAGTTTGGGTAGGTCATATATCTCTAGAAATTTATTGATGTCACTGATATTTTTTATTTTATTGGAATACAAATTTTCAAAACAATTTCTAATTATCTTCTGTATTTCAGACATGTCCATTGTGATAGTTTGGGAAGGGAGGAGTTGGCAAAAAATATGACAATAACTAGAAATATACAAGAAACATGAAAATGTTTGATAAGTCCTCAGGGCCATAATATTCCTGACTACTGTCATTTTTATCTTTGATTTATTAGTTGAATCTACTTTGCCTGGATCATGAAAGCTTGAATTATAAGTCATGAGAGAGAAACAAACATTGAACAAAGAAAGGGACAATATGGAAGCTGAACAATGGCTGAATTTATATTTGTTAAATACATCAAAGTTACTGGACTTTACAAATGCTCGTGCAGGAAGAAGAGAGGCCAAGATGACCCTGGACATTTGCAATTCATTAATGAGCATATGATAGAATGAACTAAAAAGGACAGTGAGAAATCTGATTGGGTAAGTGCAGGTTTAATGTATCCATGCTGAGGTTGAACTCAGAAGGAAAACCAAGGATTAGACGAAGCAGCCTGGTATTAAGTGTATGGAGTTTGGAAAACTTCAGAGTTGAAAATTTAGATTTCTGAATAATATTCCTAAAGATGGCATTAAAAATATATGTTATTCTTAAATTGCTAAATAAAATGAAATAATCCTCTGTACACAATCTCCACCACTACATATGTCCTGATTGTTTTAACACTCTAGAAATTGCTGTTGTGTAATATTTCTTTGCAGATAAATATTATCATTACTGTTGCTTTCTTCAAAAAAGTGTTTGGTACAAGCAATTTTTTCTGCATATGAAGTAAGAAATGATTTTGCACCTTGTTAAGGGAATAATGTTCATGTTTCTAACAGGACTTGGCGTTGTGGGGAACACCTTTGTTCTTGTGAACTATATGGGCTTGTTTAGAAGCACTATGAAATGTATCCACCTCATTCTCATTCATTTGGCTTTTACAAACATCATAACCCTTCTAACAGGAGGAATGCCAAGGACAATATCCACTTTTGGGATGAGAGACCTTATAGATGATATAACCTGTAAAATTGTGGTTTTCCTCAGCAGGGTGGCCCGGGGCCTGTCCATCTGCACCACCAGTCTCCTCACAGTGGTCCAGGCCATCACCATCAGCCCCAGAGCCTCCAGGTGGAGGAGGCTGCAGCCCAGGTCTGCATGGCACATACTTTCCTTGTTGCTCTTCTTTTGGGTACTCAATTCCTTGATAAGCATGAACTTACCATTTTACATAAAAAATATCAACAATATGAACACATCACAAATTATTAGCCATTACAACTATTGTTCTTTCCAATCACAAAACTGGATAATTAGATGGATTTTTATTGTTTTCCTGGTCTCAAGGGACGCTGTGTTCCAGGGTGTCATGGGCTGGGCCAGTGGCTACATGGTCTTCCTCCTCCACAAGCACCACCAGCACGTGCTCCACCTTCAGACCTCCAAGCTCCTCTACAGAAGCCCCCCTGAGGTGAGGGCTGCAAAGAGGGTGCTCCTTCTGATGCTCTGCTTTCTCTTCTTCCATTGGGCAGATTGCTTTATGGCTTTATATGTAACTTTTTCTTTAAAGAAGAATTTCATAGAAGTCAGTGTTCTAAAATTTGTGGACCTTGGATATGCAGTCCTCAGCCCATTTGTGCTGATTCACAAGGATGGACACCTGGCTGAATGTTGGCCCACTGAGTGAGAGATAGATTGAGAAAACTTGTATTTTATTGATCTTTTTAGTAAGTTTTTAAAAACAATTCATATATATATATATATGCATGTGTGTGTGTATATATATTTATATATATTTGCTATATGTGATGGAAACACAAAGTAAGGGTAACTGTTTAATGGTGCTTTCTCTGTGACTCTTTAAGTCTCTTTATATATTTGCAGGTTTTACTTCCCTTGTAAACCTCAAACTTTGCTGATGTGTATTATATCTAAGGTTTATTTATTTATGATTAACAGAAAATATTTTGATGGTCATAGCAATTAAAAATAGAGTGGAGTAATATGCATAATTAGCTATAATTTACATTATGAAATACGCAAGAGTACTAAAGGTGTAGTTGTCTCATTTCATAGAAACATGAATGGAGGTATAATGAAAATAATTTACTGTTATTTGGATGTTTTATGATGTCCAAATCACAAGTTGAATATATTTACTACAATGAATGAGAATTTGGTGGTGATCACAATTTGTGGCTTGTTTCAAGAAAGTGCTATTTAGAGTCTTTATCCTGCTTCATATTGTCCCCCTGTTTTCAGAAATCCAAATCATATTCAGATTTGTAATGAAGTGAACTTAATTTCCCTTTTTCCTAAATGGAACCAAAACATATACTCATGTAGAGTGCACAGATCTGGTAATAAGGCATTTGACTAAGGCATTTGGAAATATTTTTGATGCTGTTGATGTATTCATCATATTTCCTGTGAGACATCAGAACTGATGTAGAGGCCCTTCTCCTCCATTGTCAAGTTGTCCTGTGTATCTTTCTATGACCCTGATTACTTTGGATGTTTTACTTCTCTGATAGGAAGTGGTGAAGGCCTTTCCTTTGTGGTTTGTTTTTTACTATATTAACTCGTATTTAAAGTAATTTACTAATGCTATTACATCCTACTCCAAAATTAGAGTCCATCTTCTTGATATAATAGTGGCGTCCTTGAAGATAAAGGGTATACTACTCAGTTCCACAGTTGTCTTGAGACAGCTGTCGCCTGAAATCTAGCATAGAGAACAAGATAAGGTGAGCCACCCCTGAACAGGTCTTCACTCGGGCTCAAGGGCAAGGAGTGCAAATCCCAGAACTGCAGTCAGGAAGAAATGACATGTGCCCCATAATTATTAGATGACTGAGCACCAACGACAGAGAGATATCTGGATGAATAAGAAGATGGCTCATGGCTGTTAGAAACAATTTGTCAAGATTCACCTGGACTTTATTTTTTTCTACATAAGTATGATTCTTCTTTACTATAAAATGTGGGCATTGAGTTGAGAAAATACAAGTACATCTGAATGCTTAATTAGAAAATAATCGAAAAGAATGAGGTGCATGATTAAGTTTGTTACACACATGTGGAGTGGGAGAGAGGAGAGAGAAATGGGAAACACTGGCCATTGGAACACACTGACATGACTGGTAGTACATCTAGTTTTTTTTTATTTCTCAAATACCTGTATGTTTTCCAAAGAAGTAAAATAACTTCTGCATCAATTGCACCTTAGAGAGTTTACATGATGTTTGTAGTTGTGATGATGGAATATTCCCCTAATTTTGTGAAATACACCTCCACATTCAGAAACTCAGAGGACCTTATTGTATTGAATTCATATAGCAATGTTTATACACAGACCTGTAGTTGCTAAAAATTAAAACAAAAATATAATAAAAGCAACCATAAGAATACCTCAAGTAAAAGTCATCAAACATTCATCACAAAAATTGAAAGAGGCACAATTACAGAAACTCATGTAGATGTTTTGTTTCTTTTCTTTTTTTTAAACATTGGCTCTGAATATTCTTTTTTTGGGGAATTTAGTACTGTTTTTTTTAATTGGTTCTTTTTTGTTATCCATGATATAATAAGATTCATTTTTACATAATCATAACAACACAACATATAATTTCTTCTATTTGAATCCCCAATACCTCCATGTTTGTTCTTTCTCATCTTGTAATCTTTCTGCAATTTATCTATGGTTATTTTTTAAAATTAGCACCTTATGTAAGCTAATCCAAAATTAGGTCAGGGGATGAAAAATAAGTAGAAAAATATCAATGAAGTGGACAAAGGGAAGTGAAGGAAAGGGGAGGGGTGTGGAATAGGGAGAGACAGTGGGATGAATTGGACCTACCTTTCCCAGGGACATATATAATATGCCACAGTGAGTCATGTAGAGTTTTCATTTCACAGATGCAAAAATCCATACATTAATATTTATACAAAGCCCTCTCTTGTACTTAATTGTGAATCTATTTTCCATAAAGATAGGAGAGAAATACATGTGTGGAGAGATAAGAGGCAACTAATATTTATGAAATGAAAAGTCTGACAATGCTCATAAACACCTATGATGAAAGTACTTTGACTAATATGACCCAAAGTGATCTACAATCACTATGAAATAGCAATGACATTTTTCACAATACTAGTGAAATAGCCCAAAATTCATATGAAAGAGGAGAAGACCAGAGAGTCAAGGTGATCCTTTGAAACAAGATCAATGCAACAAGAGGCATCAAAATCACATCTCAAACTATTTTACAGAGCTATAGTAACATGACAGCTGGTATTTACATAAGAAGGCCAATAGAATAAACAGAAGACAGGGACAACCCACACAGGAACAGACACCTGACCTCTGACAAAGGTGCCAAACATGTATGTTGGAGGAAAGGCAGTGTTGTGCATACTGGATATTCAGACAGAAAAAAGTGCTGCATGCCCATTTCTCACCCTGCAGAAACACCAATTTAAAATCTACTAGAAAACTAGAAATGACACCTGAAGCACTGCAGCTGCTTTCAGAGACAGTGTGAAACATCCACACACTGAAATAAGCACTAACCTCCTTCATAAGTCTCCTAAAGCTCAAGAAAAAAGCGGGGGAGGGCTGGGGCTGTAGCTCAATGGCAGAGTGCTTGCCTAGCATGTGTGAGGCACTGGGTTTGATCTTCAGCACCACATAAAAATAAACAAATAAAATAAAGGCATTCTGTCCATCTACAACTAGAAAAAACAAACAAATAAAAACAAAAACAAAATTTAAAAAAACAAGCAGGGAATAGTGGTGCATGCTTATAATCCCAGTGGATGAGGAGGCTGAGGCAGGAGGAGCTCAAGTGGAAAGCAAGCATCAATTTAGTGAGGTCCTTAGCAACTTACTGAGACCCTGTCTGAAATATGAAATAAAAAGAGCAGGGGATGAAGCTCATTGGTTGAGCTCCCCTGGGCTCAATCCCTGGTTAAAAAAATAAAATAAATAAAAGAGAAAAACAAAAGAAGAAAGAAACAAAGGCAGAAAACCAAAAACTAATAAGTGGTATGGCGTTAGATGAGAAACTTTTGCGCAGCAAAAGAAACAATTAAGAGTGTAAAAAAAAGGGATCCAAAATGGCGGGCTGGAGAAAGGCCGCATTCTGTGTTGCTCCATGACCTGGGATTCAAGTAGTGGGAATACTGCTCCCTGCGAGTGATAGAGGACCCCCTCACAGTTGCTCCCACACAGGAATCATGGCCGCCATGCCCACACAGGGCTCTGGTTCTCAGCATCAGAGCAGGACTCCTGAATACTCACCCACAAGGACTCTGGATGCTTGAACAGTTCCTCTGACATCAGCACCCATGCAGGACTCCTGATTGCCCACCTGCATGGAAATTCTGGCCACCACTCCCACACAGGACACCCAGCCACTACCCATGCACAGGAACTTCGGCAGCCACTCCTGTGTGGACCCCCATCTACCAAACTTCGACCCCTGGTCACCTTCTTCTTGAGACTCTGAGGCCACTGCCATAGTCCCCTACACACTGTAGCCTATACCTGGGGACACTGCACAGATTCTGAAGACAGCCAACAGCCACACACTGCATGCCACAGAGCTGCATCTCTGAACACATCACCCATATCATGGCCTGGCCCCTCCACTCCCTTGCTGAAAGCAGCTGCCTCCTTCTTGGGGCACCTTCATCACAATTTTTAGTTGGGGCAACTCCCAATTTGGAACACCTGCTGCTCAGGTACTGACAGTTCCCAATGCCCCCCTCTCCCTGCCAACCACTAACCTGGCACAGTGACTGTCCAATACAAAATAGGTCTCCAAGACATGTGCACAGCCTCCAGAGTGCAACCCACAAAACATTCAAAGAGAAAGTCCCCCATTAGGAAGTAGAAAGGGCAGGGGGGTGAGTGGGATACAGTTTAGAGACTAAATTAGAGACCAGGAACTGTGGGGTTGACAGGCGACACAAGGAGATAAGACAGGCACCCACATCACACAAGTGGGCCCCAAAGGAGATCCTTGGGGTGCAGTCTTCAATTGGGGACTGGAAAGTGCCATACTCCACTCCAGGTGCCCTTCACCCAAGATCAACCACTCCACCCTGGTAACCTTCACCATCCTGAGGGTAGAGATGCCAGCAAACAACAGACAACCCACCTACTGGATGAGAAGGGAAGCAGAAAGATACTGACCTCCAACCAAAACAACCCTTGTTTCTCCCCCCCTCTCTCTTCTTCCACTCTCTCATTCCCAACATTTGTGAAACCAAGAACTTTGCATGAATTAGGCTACTGAGGACTGGGGAGTCTGCATAGTATATTACAGTTGTGTTGTATATTCTTTTTTCTCCATTTTTACATTTTTATTTTTCTTAATATTTATGTCTGTTTTAGGTAATCTACTGTCTTACCACTTGTCTACCACAAATCACTTCCTCTCTCTTCTCCTGCTACTACTCATCTTCTTTAGATTCCTCTTTCATACTTCCTAAGATCTAATAACCCTATATCCTCACCTTCTACCCCCTCAATATCTCATCCTACACCTCACCCCTGGTTCTTTGTCCACCATCAGAAAATGTAAACCCTTTTGTAAACCTACTGTTTATATTGTAGATAATCATCGAACTACCATTTCTATATATTGTGAAAAGCTGCAAGT